GAACATTTGGCTTGGTCTGGAATAGTCATGGTAAGCTTTTCAACGCGCTCAGTCATGCGTGACGTCATCTACGCGCACTTTTGCGTTTTTACATTATCGATCATATCAGCCTAACCAATTACCATTTCGAAATCGTATTAAGTGAGCATTAACTTCGGGTTAATGTTGAATGTACTGTTCCCTAATTTTACGCGTGCGCTTCATAACGCGCGCGCACGCGTGCGTCAAAATTTTAAAATGCTCGAAATCACTTTTTAACTAAATTACAGCACGTTTCAGGCCATTTTGAGCATTTCAATTTTTTTTCAAATTTTCCACTATGCGCGCGCATTTTGACGCGCGCAGCACGTACGGAAGCTAGACACTATGTTCTTTTACATAGTTTGGGTTCCTGACATTGTTTTCACAAACTTCCTTTCTTTTCGGTCTTCTTTTGGCCAATAATAATGCCGTACGTGCGCATCAAATATAGGTATCTTTGCGCGGATTTGTGACGATATACAGTGAAAATATGCTAAAATGAGGCCTATTTTTAATCAGTTATAGCTCTTTAGATTGAAAGGTGACCCCCAATTTTTATTACATATTCTGAAAGCACGTAAGTTGTAAATATGATTTTATGGATCATAATGGCTGATCGGAGAATGTGACGTCATCATATTGGCACTGAATTCAAAGAAAGTGAATTAAAGCTATGACGTCATTTTTGAAAATACGCATTTGAGGGTATCTCGCTTATCCTTGGTCGATCGTCTTCCAACTTTGAGTATGTTATAGCTGAGACAATTCTCCTTCATATATTTGACTCTTTTTTACATTTTGATGACGTCATCATGGTCAAAAAAATTGTTTTTTTCTGACCCCCTTATTTCTCTTTCTTCAAAACGTTGATGAGCCCATATAATCTTAACCATTCGTCATTTCTAAATCATATTAGGTGCGCATAAGCTTCAGGTCAAGATTGAATGTTATGTACCTTAATTTTCCGTTCGCGCATTTTAGCGTGCACGTACGCGTGCGTCAACATTTATATATACATAAAACCATTATTATTTTTAATCAGTTATAGCTCCTTAGGATGAAAGGTGACCCCCAATTTTTATTACATAATCTGAAAGCACATGAGTTGTAGATACGATTTTTTACTTCATAATGGCTGATCGGACATTGTGACGTCATCATATTGGCATTTGAATTAAAAAACTGAATTTTTATTTATGATGCCATTATGTTTATACTCGTTTGAACGTATCTCGCTTATTCTTGATTGATTGTCTCCCACCTGTGAGTATGTTATAGCTAAATCAATTCTCTTGAAGACATGTCCCTTTAAGTTTCATTTTGATCACGTCAACATGGTGAAAAAGAATGAATTTTTGGAGCCCTTTTATCTCTCATTCTTAAAAGATGTAAAACAATAGAACAGATGAGGGCGGCAGACTGTATTTCGACGCTATCAGACTAATATATGTAGGTTATGTGAAGGGAAAGTTTGTGTGGCATTACCAACTAACAGGCGGTTTTAAATACACTTGACAATGTTTAATTTCGTGTGCTCTTACTGTACACGCACACATGGTGATGTGCGTGTCTGTTAACATTAGAAAATTCTCGATATTACTATTCAGATAGTTTAAAGAACGTTTCGGGTCATTTTCAGCATTTCAAAACTTTCCATAATTTACCCGCCGTACGTTCATTTCCACGCACACAGCATATATTAAAGCTGGAAATCAAGTTTTGTTACATACTTTATGTTCCTGACACATTATTCATATCAGGAGTCACTCTTTGTGCTATTACCGTGCTCACGGGCGTCAAGACGTTCGTGTACACATTCGGAAATCTTTTAAAATGCTCAAAATTATTCTTTAAAAAAAACTAATTACAGCATATTTTAGCATATTATGACACTTTTCAATTCATGTACCATAATTTTCCGTTCGCACGTCTTAACTTCCGCGTACGCGTGCGTCAACAATTATATATGCTTAAAATTATTATTATTATCTTTAATCAGTTATAGCTCCTTAGGATGAAAGGTGACATTTAATTTTTATTACATATTCCGAAAGCACATGAGTTGTAGATATGATTTTATAGATCATTATGTCTGATCGGACATTGTGACGTCATCATATTGCAATCTGAATTAAATATGTATTTGAGACTTCATTATTTTTATACTTACGGTATTTGACGTATCTCGCTTATTCTTGATAGATCATCTCCCACCTTTGAGTATCTTATATCTTATAGCTAAGACAATTCTCTTTCGGAATTAACCTTCATTTTTCATTATGATGACGTCATCATGGTCAAAATGAATGATTTATTGGACTCTCATCTTTGTTTCTTAAAATATGTGAATTCACCGACAGAGGGCGGCAGACTGTATTTCGACGCTATCAGTCTGATATAGTTCATAATAAAAGGAGAATTCGTGTGGCATAACTGACCAACAGGCATTTTTTTTTTAAATGCCACTTGATAAGGTTTAATTTTCTTGTGCCATTACCGTGTATGTGTGTGTTAAAGTTTCAAAATTCTCAACATCACTTTTTAGATAATTTAAATCACGTCTCAGGTCATTTTCAGCATTCTAAAATTGTCCATAATTTACCCGCCGTGGGCTAATTTTCACGCGCACACCACGAACTGAAGCTAGAAACTAGATTTGAACGTCACTCTAAGGACGAGTTAGATGATCTGCTTATCAGGCAAAAGAAATCTATCGGAGTTAGAATTATGAATTATGGATACAGTAAATACCGTAGCCAGGATTTTCAAACAGAGCAAGAAAATACCAAGTCTGCTGCCCTCTTTTGGAATCGTCAAAGCTTGAAGAAATCACATTGATTCAGTTCTTCATGCTCCATCATTAGAAAAAAAAAAACTACTCCAACAGCCGCCATACATTAAAATCGGATTGTAATAATTTTTTTTAGCAACTCAATGCGCTTGTTTGTAATATGTTTATTATTCTGGTACTGTACATAATTATATTTAGTCAGGTAATCAGTAAGACAATAATCCAGCTTTGTGTAATCAATGCAATATACAGTACTGTACGTGCCACCCATCCCCGTTTTGCCACTGAATTTTAGAGATTTCAATGTATATATTGAAATTAGCGCTACCAATCAACTTATAAAATTATTCTGAAGGTGTTGTACCCCCCGTTTAAAGCACTTATTCACGCGAATTCAGCTCTTGCTTTCTTTGTCACATGTTTTTGTTCTCTTAAACATTATTTTTACCTGATTTTTTTGACTTTTTATAATTCTCCTTTTACCATTGAAATAAAACCTAAAAAATAACCTTAAAACATTAAAAAACCTTTTCCTTATACCAATATACTGTATTCCTGTAATGATTGCGAGATTTCATAAATAAATACAATTGATTCAGTCATTCAGTCAAATATTTTTTTTTTCTTTTGGAAACAAACAGTACCTTCAAACTGAAGTTACAAAAAAAGAAACATACTAAGGTAAAACCATCTCAATAACTGGCGCTTAACTACATGCCGTGAATATTGTCCTTGGGGCAATCACTTTCCTAAACATTGATTGCCTAAATCAATTTAGCTACGTTTAGACTTGGAGATAAGCCAGGCTTTAGTTAAGCCCGGCTCAACGTTTAGCCAGGCGAGAATTTGCATAATAATGAACCGTAACCAGGAAACGTGTTTCAAAACATTGCTCGGCGAAACGTACGCTCGCTCACAGCGTACGTAATTGAATGCTGATTGGTCATTTCATCACCCGAAGTCAATGCAAGACCCATCGCAACGATTAAAGCCCGGCTTTAGAAAAGTTACACACGGTGGCGCGGCAGGCCTAGTTACTATAGGAACACAGCGCGGCTTGAGATAAGCCACCTAGTTCAGATTGGCAGGTGGATAAACCCGGTGAGTTAAGCCGGGTTTATCCACCTAGTCTGAACTAGGCCTTAGTCTCCATAACAACTACACTCTTGAACAATTATATAAAGGGAATATCTTAAGATGTCATTTTTAAATGTACACCACACAGAATCACTTACAGTAGTTGCTTAATAATGATAAACAATGAATTTTTACGTATATCTCTATTTAATTTAAAAACTGTTTGGAATACCTAAATTAAAGCTAAAGAAATCTTCTCGTCATATTTTCTTCTTTGTTATCTTTATCATGATAAGGTTCTTGCAACCAAGAAAATTAATTTTTTATAACACAATCTAGTTATATCAGGGTAAAAACAAAAGAAAATAAAAGTTAGAACTTTATTCAGTACTATGTTATAAGCGTTTTCTTATATCCAAGCTCTTTATAAATGAGGTCCTATTGTATTTTTCAAGAATAAAATTATATTTTTACGTAAACATCAAGAGGCCAGATTAATTGTGGAAAGAAACCAACATGGCTACATGCCAAAGTATCCCTTAAGGCAATGTATTATGAGCATGGTTTTATTACAGTCCTTCACATTAAGCAAGTTTAAGGTGGATTTCATTACCCCACCAACATTTTGTATCATCACCATGATTAAGTATGTATAATAAAATGATCAAATCCATTTATTGGTCCATATTTCAGAATAATGCAGCTATTTATGATTTGGAATTGTAAACAATTTTTAGTTCTGAAATTTTAAAAAACACTGTATTCAGACATGCAACATACTCAAAATGATGAACACAATATGGTGATGATAGTTCAGTAATCGATGCAGATTTGCAAATTCTTAGTGATTGCTTGTGATTATGGTCACATCATTCTTTACATTGGTTTGGTATACATAATTTGGGAATAGATTGTCAGAAATTAAATGTGATTGATGGCTTTGATGTCCAGTTCTAGGCACTGTTCACAGTACACAGTACATGTATGTACACATTACCACTCATAAGAAGTTCTATGTTTGCGAGAGTAGAGCAGTCCAGCATATAGGGTATGCATTGAAGAGATGCGCTTGTCAAAGTCTGGTCATAATGCAGGAATTTTCATTAATTGACTGGTATTAAATATGACACACTCTTCCTTTTGCTCAGCAGATCAATGTTTTATGATACATTTGCAGTTTCTTGGCTGATTTTATTTTCTCTTGTAAAACACACTTTATCAAATCCAATAATCAATTCCTCTGTACCTTGGAAAATGAATAGATTTCTCAAGCACCGTCTAACCGAGAACTGAACTATATGCCCTTCAATACTGCACAAATTGGCTTCAGAAGGAATAGAGTTTATAGTTGATACTTCCATTCCATGGAGCAAAGCTGAAAAATAGCCTGTTCACAGTTGGACATATCATCAAATTTGCAAAGTTCAGACAATTGCTATGAAAGAACCAATGGCTTTTATGCTGGCTAGCTTAGAACCTTGTGGCAGACCTTATTAATTAAGCTTGACAGCAGATATTTAGCAAGAGAATCTAGTTATTCTCATCATGGTAAACTCTAAAGAGTGGAATACTTGCATAGTTTCTTGTGTAAAATCATATACAAATACATTTTGAACCTGAATGAAAAGTAAAAAAAAAATTATTAAAATACAAACAGTATTATAACATGAAAGAAAATATGTTAATCATGAAAACAAACAAAATGTGTTGCCTCATCAGGTGTCATTACCAGTATATGTCCATTGAAATAATTTCATTATTCAAATTAAACCAAATTTAGTAAGTGTATGTAATATGTATGTGTAATTTCGTTTAAATTTGAATTCACCAAATACAACATAATGTAATTATATAATATTCAATTGCAATTATAATAAATTTAAATCCATATGCTTTTTGTTCAAGGTTAGATCCTTATTTTGTTTTTGTTTTTTTTGTATGCATGTGAATTGTGGCCATGAAAACCTATCTCTTTTATCGTTTTTTAGTAGAATATGAAATACATTCAGGTTTATACATTAGTTCATCATAGGAAAAACTAAGTCTGTTTGACAAATTTAAGAAATAGTTACCTTAATTGTGTTTAGTATCAGCCTGAGTTCTTTCAAGCAGTACATGCACAGTGAATATCTACAGCAATCAGGACAGAGAGAATTCAGTTAGTTATACCAAGCGTTTCTGTCTGACTACCAAATCAATTAATATTTTAAACTTTAAGTGCAAAGTCTTGGTTCACCAGTGATGGCATGAGTATACCTTGATGTCAATGTAATAACTGGAAAGTCTAATTGTAAAGTGTCATATGAAATATATACTACAAAGAAAGTATTCTAAATTGAATCTACTTTTTTGTACATTTGGTCTAATTATTCAGTTCATAAAAACATTTAAAGCACATAGGCCTACTATCATGACTATCAAACATTTTTGAAAATTTACAAGATTTTAGTTCTTGTTGCATAACATTTTCTTTTAAATAACAAATTTCCTGTTCATCCCCACTGCTTTTTACACATCTAATAAAAAACACAAAATACAGAAAAAAACATGCACAGATAATGTGTGTACCTGTTACTTGATTGCATAGAAAATTTGAGTATCAGTGTATCATTTAATACAAAGCATGTATAATTCATATTACTGCGATACATATTATTGTCATACAGACATATGATTTGCAACAAACCGTTATACAGTATGAAGAAAATATTGTTAATGATATCTTCTTGCAATTCACACAGTTCACATGTACATTTATCAATTAATTAGTCTTTATTATATCATACATTTTCCATTTTTTTAAATTGGTTATATTTTCATTGCAACCATATAAAATCTCCATTTTTTTGTCTAGATATTACTATTATATATATATATATATTTATATTATTATATCATACATTTTCCATTTTTTAAAATGTTATATTTTCATTGCAACCATATAAAATCTCCATTTTTTTTATATTACTAGATATTACTATATTTTTGAAGAATAATCCATTGAAACATTTTAGCTCAAAACATGTGAAGTATCAATCCACAAAAAAATATTTTGATAAATGCATATATATTAATTTCTTGCATAATAAGAAAGAAAAAGCTAGCTTTAGGCGAGACAGAGAAATTAATTAACACATATATCTTCTTGCAATTCACACAGTTCACATGTACATTTATCAATTAATTAGTCTTTATTATATCGTACATTTTCCATTTTTTAAAATTGGTTATATTTTCATTGCAAGCATATAAAATCTCAATTTTTTTGTCTAGATATTACTATATTTTTTAAGAATAATCCATTGAAACATTTTAGCTCAAAACATGTGAAGTATCAATCCACAAAAAAATATTTTGATAAATGCATATATATTAATTTCTTGCATAATAAGAAAGAAAAAGCTAGCTTTAGGCGAGACAGAGAAATTAATTAACACATATATCTTCTTGCAATTCACACAGTTCACATGTACATTTATCAATTAATTAGTCTTTATTATATCATACATTTTCCATTTTCTAAAATTGGTTATATTTTCAT